TACGTTCACCAATCTGTACTTGTGAATGAGGCATGACAGAGCTGGAAAAGTCCTATTTTTTTGGAAATGTCGTGGCTCTGGTATCATATATAGTCAGATGGGGTAAGACAGGACCAAAATCACTAACAAGCATGTAGCATATATACCATCAATAAATAAAAAACCCTAAAACTATCACAAGGTGTAGTTATGCAATGGGCTTCTAAGCTACAACTCAGACTTTCTGCATACAACACAGTTTTCTGCACAGATTAAAAAAAGTGAGCTGGTCCCATCTTACCCCACTGGGGTAAGATGGGACCGGGCATGGGGTAAGACAGGACCAACAGGTAATTCTTGTGTTACAAGGTTTTTAATAAAAGTACAAACCTGATATTCAATATTATCTATCTAGAAACACATTATTTGATTACACAACCACTTGTTACTGTTCTGTATTGCAGGATGTCAACTCTATTGATATTTATCAGTCACATTGGAGTTTTTGTCACAAGAAAACTTTGTTAACTCTTTAATGACCAAATTTTTTAAGTGCATAAAATTTTTTTTGTTGTAATTTATAATTTCCAGTGATTCCAGTCACTAAGTAGTGTATAGATGAGCATAAACATTGAAAATTGTATATTGAAAAATTGTAAGGCAACATTTCAGTCCACTTGGTCTTACGAGATCCTAACATTTAATGTGACGGTATGATCCATTTAGTCTTCTGAGCGCAAAATATGGATGATATTATGTAGCTGGCATAGTTAATTATCATTTTATACATTACTTTTGCTAGCAACAATAGGCTTGCTTAAGAAGTCTGGCCAAGAAACTTCCAATAAACTCTAGTATTTTAGCAAAAATGCCTTATTTGAGATTGAAATTTCAAAAAAAAATGTGTGTTTTTCCAACATCCTTGATGTTGGGAAAACATCAAGGATATTGGGCCAAAGACGCCAGGGCCATGGTTGTGAGGCCAATGTCTAGGCAGAGAGGCCAGTGTCCAGGTTGAGAGGCCAGCGTTAAGGCTGAGAGGCCTGAGTCCAGGTTGAGAGGCCTGAGTCCAGGTTGAGAGGCCTGAGTCCAGGTTGAGAGGCCTGAGTCCAGGTTGAGAGGCCTTGTATTTTCTTGCTAACTGCATTTGTGGTGCACTTCTCCAAACATACCTAGCCCATGCTCTCCCACTAAGTTGTGATAGATATTAATTATTTTTTATTTTTCGCACAATGATTTTTCTCCCAACCACTCTTACACATAGTTCTGCAGCTCACTAATGGGAAGAGACATCCCTATTTTCTCTATCCCCTTGATACAATTTTCAATAGTAAGCTAAATTTCTCTAATTAAAAAAGCTAACTAGTTAGAAAGGTTATTTTGAGCAAAAGATAAAAATTTTTACCAAAATACTCCATGTTTACTTATGCACAATAATATATTCATTTAAAAGCTACTTTTGATAAACTATGGGGTAAAAGAGGACCATTTATGGGGTAAGATAGGACCACTTGTGGGGTAAAACAGGATCATGTAGTGGTTCCGTCTTACCCCATGTCCGGTCCTTTTTTACCCCATTTTAGAATAGATGTCAGGCAGTGATGGTTGCAGGTAGGAATGCCTAGTATGTCTCAAAAGTTGCTTATTACTTGAGGTTACCTGCCTACATCCATAAAACTGGCCAAAAAAATTTTTGTAATCAGACTTATTTCCCAAATAGGGTTAACTATTTTGTGACCCTTCTTTACATGGGTTATCTTTAAAAATTAACCAAAAATTCATTATTTGCAGAACAGGGTTGAAACAAACACTGAAATGACTGGCAATGATTGCTCTAACATATTCTTTTGTCAAGTTAAATTCAGTGCAGTTAGAATGCACGCCATGGGCCGGTCCTTTCTTACCCCATGAAGGCTGCGATCCTGTCTTACCCCATTTGACTATACTGGTAATTTCAGTAGGTATGAAATCTCAAAAGGGCAGGCCGCCCTTTTGATTTGTATTATTAATCCTGTTTATATATAGGAATGAAAATGTCACATTGTTGCTTCTATTTCAGAATCTGATCCGGAATAAATTTGTGAAATTACCATAATACTTACGGTACTGTAAATACCTTAACCGTAATACTATAGTACTTACTACTTTCATACCGCAACATTACTGTTGCAATGTTGTACTTTTGGCATGGCATCAACATTGGCATTGCTAACCATAATTTGAAAACAGTTGCTGCTTAGGGTTCAGTGGGTGAAGGCGTGTGAGTTTTGCTCCCACGAAATAGCTTTGCAGGGCATCATGTTCAAGACAGTTTAATTCATATTGGTGGCATGATTTCATAAATGTTAATTTATTGGGTTTGACTTGGAGATGAATTATTATTTAGTCTAATTGAAATCTTGAACTAAAATAGCAACCTTCATTCTTGATTCTTTCAGGTGTAACTTTAATCCCTTCTATTTTTATCCTTTCTATCTTAACTAAAATTTTTTAATCAAAAAAGTGGTGAAAGTGGATTGAAAATAATATATAAACCTTAATTTTAAGAATTCCATCCTGCTCACAGCTCTACTGGCATGAATTTTTCTTTGAATGAAAACATTGTGGTTTGCACTTTGGCTTTGCAAACATGCCATTTCATAAAATTTTAAACTTCCACAATCCGCATTACTTTACCATTTCCGCCAAAACATCCTGCAGAACTTAATCATCGTAATGATAACAAGTCAACCTAAACGTTTAGTTGGAGATTGCACATAGTTGCGGTCACATCATAATGATTATAGCAGTCAGACTGCATTAACATGTGTTCAGCTTACAGTAAAGACAAATGTTATTGTTGCCATTTGACTGTTTTAGGGTAAAATTAGAGATTTGGGATAACACATGCACAGACTTTGTAAATAAATTCGAGGTTTGTAAATGACTACCGTCAACCAGGGCTACTCGGGACAAGCGGGGCTACTCGCGACAGGCCTCCAACACGGTGTAAAACTGTTGTAGTAGCAAAACTAATTGGAATATTGTAAAACTAAAAATAGTGGCGTAAACGTCAACATTTTTATTATCTATGTACCGTAAAATGGGGTAACTTAAACCACTTTTTTTTTATAAATAATGCCATTTTTTTACTAGCTAAATTAAACTTAAATTGAAACATGCAAAATACAGGTCTATACTCTAGCTTCACTCACCATAAATTGCTGGCTCCTGCCTCTCATAGTCTTTATG